ATTTCCATAATCCAAAGCCAGGTTTGTCAGGGATGAAAGAGTCTCTGGATGTGCTGGTCCCAGCACCCTTTTCCTCAATGCCAGAACTTCTGTGTCGATCTCTTCGGCTTTCTGATACAGCCCCTGTTGCCAGTAGCATGAAGCCAAATTACTCATTGCTGTAAAAGTATCGGGGTGCTCTAGCCCTAACACCTTCTTCCGCAATGTTAGTATTTCCTCCATCAATCCTTGGGCCTTTTCATGTTGCCCTAAATTGAGGTATGCTGAACCGACGTTGCTCATCAAGGTCAATGTCAAAGGGTCTTCTCTACCAAAGGCCTTTGTGCAGAGTTCAGTGGCTTCTTTCCCTGCTTCTAATGAATCCCGGTCTCGACCCAGAGCCATAAGAATACATGTGTGCAGGTGTAGGCCATTAAGCCTTTCACGAGAATCCCACACAAGTTTATCCTTCAGCATATCAAGATAGGCAGTCAGATGTACATCTGCAGTGGGAAAGTCACCTGCATCATCTAACACCTGATATAGCAGATGTTCATCAGTGGCCACATCAAGGGGAACACCGGTGAATGGCCGAATATGTGGCAGTAGCATCTGATGAAGTTCATAACGCTGCAGGGACAAGTCATCTTCAGCAACTGCTAATAGCAACCTCCTAGTCAAGGCTTTTGAAGGAAATCGATCTTCAGGGAAAGATTGTAGTTGTAACCAACTTTGAACTAGGATATGCATCGAGTAGAACTTTTGACCATCAATAGATGTTGTAGGTTGTAGAAGAGAGTATTGAAAACATGGTTCAACAATCTTATGGAACTCGATTTCCGACCATTGTCCTTTTGGACAAAAGATTCTGCAGAGATTTTCGGCCTGTGCTTTGATTGCATCTAGCTTGTCATTATCTGCTTCGCTTGCTTTTCCTGATGCATAAAAGAACTTGTTTTTCCCGGCAGCTGCTATGATTCTATGTGCTATTGAATTGTGTTGGAGGAAAGAGAAGATCCGAAGAGCTTCTTTTGATCGATTGGAAAGTTTATTGAAGGACATTTCAAGTGTAGTTGCCACAGACAGGTCATAACCGTGTGGGAGTTCCTTTGCTCG